CCTAATTGTTGAGGAAAAACACTCTGGGATGAGCTGATCTCCTTTGACACCAGCTGAAACTGTGGTCTTCATTTTAGAACTAGATGTTTCATTGGCTTTAACAGATTATTTAAATAAAAAAACCCCACCAGTTTTCACCCTGCTTTCTGTATTAGAAAGAGGTTTGAAGATAGCACAGAAAAAGGATTAAACTACAATATTCAGGCTTGAGAGTTTCATTATTAAAAAAAAAACAAAACAAAAAACCCCACAACCTTCAGGCAAAAAATAAAGCCTGCAGAGAATCTTAATTTTTAATGGCATTTTCAAAGTGCAACATGACTCTCTGCTTTCTGTATTAGAAAGAGGTTTGAAGATGGCACAGAAAAAGGATTAAATTACAATATTCAGGCTTGAGGGTTTCATTATTAAAAAAACAAGACAAAAAACCCCACAACTTTCAGGCAAAAAATTCCCTGCAGAGAACCTTAATTTTTAATGGCATTTTCAAAGCGCAACATGACTCTTATTCCATAAACTGATAGCCATCTATGATGAAGAAAACATGCAATATAACTGCCACAAAAAAGGTCAGTTTATTAGGGCTGAGTCCCAGTGCATTCTTCCCAGTAAAAGATTCTTCTCATTTGAACTAGAAATTTCTATTAAAAGGAAGCCTGGGTTTGAGAGTTTCATTATTAAAAAAAAAAACAAAACAAAAAACCCCACAACCTTCAGGCAAAAAATAAAGCCTGCAGAGAATCTTAATTTTTAATGGCATTTTCAAAGTGCAACATGACTCTCATTCCATAAACTGATAGCCATCTATGATGAAGAAAACATGCAATATAACTGCCACAAAAAAGGTCAGTTTATTAGGGCTGAGTCCCAGTGCATTCTTCCCAGTAAAAGATTCTTCTCATTTGAACTAGAAATTTCTATTAAAAGGAAGCTAGCAGAACATTGCTTATCCCTTCTGCCCCCAAATTTTTCAAGAGCTCCTAACTCTAAATTCCATTTTGGATCAAATCTGAAGTGCTCCATTCAATGTAACTGGAAAAAAGTATTAAATAAAACATCTTACCTGAAGTTTAAGGAATGGCAAATAGAAAGTATTGTCATGGAGAGAAGAAGAAAAGTCGTATTTATCACAGTCACTGAAACAAATGCATTACTGAAATAAAACCTTGTGTAATCAAAGTGCAAAAAGAGAAGTGCAAAATATTTAAGGGTTGGAATTTCCTTATTTGAATTCAACAGGTTTTAGTCATTATCAGAGTTAATTCAGTCCCTCTGAATCCATGCCCTTTCACTGTTACTCACAGAAAACACAGTGCAAAATCTTACCGCCTCCAATTCCAAATTTTTTAGCCCAGACTGAACACTTTAGGAAATCCTGTGAAGCTTCGGTGTCGGGTTGAAACCAAGCAGAAATAGCTCCATCCCCGTACGCTGGTGGGAAGTTGGCAAGTGGGACACGGTGTTACCCTTCTGCTCCCATCCTTATCACTGACACTCCGACCAGCAGAGCACTGGACAGGACAGATTTTTTTTAGTACTGGCAGAAGTTACTCCGGCAGCTGCACTGGTAATTACTACGCTGGTCACTATGTCCCATGAATCACATTCCTCTTGAAGTCCCCTGCCCAAGAACTGTCCTCACTTTCATCTTCACTACTTAAAACTGTCAGACTTGAAAGCTCCCACACCCACCGCAGCAAGATTCGGACAATACGCTCTTTCTACAGCAGGTGCTTCTTATTGTGAGTGTAAGAAACACACTCCGTTCTTCTGAAGTACTTCTGCTCAATCAAAACCCAATCATTCTGTAAAGTATAAAAACTACAAGTACATTTCATTTTTTTCCTCTGTGGAAAAGAGCAGAACTGGTCAAATACTCTTAATAGTTTTCTTAAAGTCCTAGTGGAACGGTAAGGCTGCTGTACTTTCAGGCTTGTAAAAACTTGCTATCGTGTTCTTGTTGCTTACTCAGTCTAGTTCTTGAGATTTTACAAAAGTTGATCATGGGCAGCTTGTAAAAAGACCAACAGCATTAAGAATGGCCAAATATTCAGTTACAAAATAAGTAATATGTATTATAAGCCACTGGAACTAACTGAACAGTTATTTTTCATTTGTTAAATCCTGTACAGTAAAATGAAGTACCAAAGCCATAAAAAGCCCACTTATTTTTAACAATGTCATCCTACCTTCATAATAAAATGATTAATGCTTCAGAAAAGAAATACGAATTTGCCAGTTTATGTGAGGAATTACTTGGTTGGCTACAGAACACCAAAGGATAAAGTTAATGAATACTCTTAAAGCATCCTTTTCACAAGAGACAACACACAGTGCATCTCCCAGTTAAAAAAAAAAAACACAAACAAAAAAAAACACAAACAAAAAAACCCCCAACAATCAAAAGCTCCAAAACTCATCTAAACCCTATTCTAAAAGCACGCCAACTGCAACAACCAGTTTCAGCAGGGAATAAATAAAAACATATTTGACAAAGAGAAATTCAGGGGTGGGAAGTGGAGCACTGCAGAAGACCTGCAGGAAACTACGTAAATTATTTTAAATACTGGTGTAGAAGTTATGGAAGGTTTATGGGTGTATATATCGGTCGGTCTGTTCCTGCAGACCAGCAAAAATACGTGAAACCTAATTTCTTCCTTTGTTTTATTAATTATGAATTTCTACACTCCACTGCTATGCCTGATACTGTGTAAATGAAAATGGAAATAACATCCTACACTCAACTCTGGAAAAAAAAAAAAAAGGCAGTTTTGAGATACACTAGAAGTATTCACCTCTTTTTCTCTTAATTTGCTAACTTAAATTTCTTTAAATAACCTTTCTTCATTTCTTGTCTGTGCTTCCAGGTATCAATCTCTTAGGTGAAACACTGCTAGAAAACAGAATACTGTGACACAGATGTGGAGTATTTGCAAGCAATTAATGCAGAAAGCAATGGGAATCACTCACAAGCTGCAGCAATTATACACCGGTCCCAGAAGCAAGCACTGAAAAACATATTTTTTTGAACTTGCCCAACTCCCTCAAAGGGCTGATTACATTTTAAAAATGAGCAAATAAGAGCAGACAAGAACCCTTCTGGGTTTAGACTTGACCACTCAGTTTACACCTTGTTAAATGCTACTGGGAGAGATTTAAACAACTGAACAACAGACAGAAGGCACAGCACCGACAGCCAAGCCTCTTAAAACAGTAGTGAGCTCCAGTGATTATTCATCCAACATCTTAAACTCTTATTTTCTTTCATTCTGCCTATAGCACTCCCCCATTGATCTTAAGGGTCTCAAAGTATAAATCTGTGTTGCCAGAAAATTTACAGTTTCCTAATGCTCATTTTTGTCCCTTTTCCCCAGAATTCCTGGATACCAACAATCAATACTGCTCTAAATTCCCCTTAATGACCAACACCCCAGCTATGCCAGGGTGTGGGGAAGTGGGACAATTTAAGAACAGAATTTTCTCCTTCCAGTTACCGTATCTGCATACACAGAAATCACTGAAGAGGATGTTACACAAACCATGAAGGAATGCATTGTCCAGATGCAGGAGGGACAAACAAGATACCAGCAGATCTACAAAGGAGTATTATAAGCCACAAAAAAAAAAAACCAACCACCCAACAATCAGCAGCTCATTTCAGCAAATGCTCAGCTATCCAGCAATTTTAAGCATAGAACACAACAGCGTTTCACACATGATGTATATGCTTAATGTACAGGAGTCCTTCATATGAAACTTGAATTGATGCAAGGCTGCAGTATTCACATTAACAAAAAAACCAAAAACAAAACATTGAGAACCATCAACAAACCGTGGCTGAAGTCACCTAATTGGCCAAATTGCAGTTACATTAAATAATTTTTAAGGCTAGATCAGAAAATACATTAAAGATAATCATATAGAAGCACATCAAAACCTAACTCGGGCTCGGTAATAACTGAACAGTTTCTATAGTGAGTGTTTTTAGTATTTTAGAGTTTGCCCCAGGATTCTGACATGATCAGCTTCAACACGCAAACCCGTATTTAGAATCTCCTTTTTATGTAGTTAACAACAGGTTACTTTGAGCAATGAAGAAACCAGACAAACATGTAAACCATGTACAAAAATCAAACATTAACCGTAGCGATTACAGTGATTACTCACAATATTAACTTTTTTGTGCTTGAGCTTTAAAAACCAGAGCATACAGATAAGAATGGAGAATATTTTGATGTTCCATCAGGAGAGCGACCAGGGATCCTACAGGGCAGCTTCCCACCCTCACAACCAAACTCAGACCACTTTTGCTGCTCCGCTCCGTTAAGGACTCCAAAAAGAGAGGATTCCATACACTGTGTCTGTAGGCAGTATTTCTAATCAATGACATCTCTAACGGGTAGCTGACAGCTTTATTCACAGAAACACATAATAAAAATTCTTCAGCTAAGACTTAGTATCGCTTCATCAAAATGTAACAGTTGCTTCTTCCATTACAAAGAGAACAAAACCAAATCCTTAGTTTAAATATGCATTTTTAAAGCTGATTTACTTTTTTTTTTACTGTCCTAAAAGTATTTTTTTTGTTGTTGCTGCTTGTTTAAGAAAAGCTGTACTCTGCAAAGATGTTATTTAAAGTTTATTTACCATTGTGACAGGACACTTAAATATTTGGCCTGTGAAACATTTTCATTCATTTTCAGTTCTCAAGACTTCTCAAACCCCTGCAATACACACAGTGTGCATATAAAAGGGGCAGTAGGGAAACCAACTGTATTAAGCATTTCATTTTGGTTTTGAACTTAGAATAAGTTTCCTCCAATACTTTGGAGGGGGGAATTTCATACAACTTTATATAATTAGAACACTCAACATATTCTTTCTTCAGAGAAAATGGAAGAAGTATCTCAGAAACTTTTTAAAAAAGTATTCTGTTGGTTTAGTTAATATTTATAGACACTTTGTTTCCATGATAAAAGTTCTTTTCCAAAGGTCTTCACCTGTGCCATGAAAACAAACTCCAGACCAAACCTTCCTTTGAGAAGCCTCAGCCCAGGGGCCACCTTTGTTCACACCTGTAAGGGAGAATTTAAAACAGAGCTAAAATGAAAATCACCCTAATCCAGAAGTCCTAAACGCTTTGTAAAGTTTATACTCCAAAACTACTGCAGTAACTTCTATTATGTTGAAACCGGTGCCACAGAACAACACATAAAAAGAATTGTCCGTGCCACAGACAAAACTGAAATAACACAGCTCTAACAGTTAAATCATAACAAGGCCCTAAACTGACACAAAAACATGAAGCTGTTGCAGAACACTAGCAGTACCACATCATAAATTACACTTTTTACCTTAAGCTGGATGCAGCTTGACCTTTTTCCCAGCTCTCACAGAACTTGTGCTCAGTCGTCAACCGCTTTCATTACAGTTTATCCACAGGCTACACAGGTAGAAGTACCTCCATCCTGCGCTGCAAAATATTTTGACAAGACAGACAGTTTTCCAGCAATCCTCATCTTTTAGTTGATACCGAGTATCAAGTGTTTCAAAGCAACGCCGAGGGATTTTTCCAGCCCTGCCTCTTTCAATCACCCGAGGTGAAGGCGAGGTTAACAAGTCCACAGAAACTCCAGTGACCCTGCACAAAGGGACAAGCTGGAATTCTCACTAAACAAACGAAGCACATTTCACCTATCGTCCATGCCCAATGGAAACGGCCCCCTACGTTTGATAAAACCAGTCATGAGCACATGGAGAAAAGCAAGTGTGGGGTTTCACTACCCTCGGAACGGCAGCGGATCCAATACCTGACGCAAGGAGCAAGCCCTGCCAGGACATACTTGGCACCTCGGTTCAGCAGCCTGCCTGGCAAAAGATGCAGGAGGATCTACCTCCTGTTGGCAAGGCCGGCCCTGCCCCACCGCTTCATCCAACAACGGGACGCGAGTAACAGCAAGAGCGGGCTCCCCGGGGGCTGCAAGGCTTCTGCCCACACTTCCACTCACAGCAGCTACAAAAGCACCTCCCAAAGCAGCTTTCCAGAGAGATAATCGACCGAGCCGGGATTTCTTTGCACAACCAAAGCCTCCCCTCGTCCTCCCTCTCTCTACCCCGAGCCCTCGGCAGCCCCTTCACCCAGAGCGGGGGTGGGGGGGGTGTGTGAGAACGGACCCGAGCGCCAACACCCCGCGCTGACTGACTGACCGACCGCCCCCCGGCACAACCGGCACCCTGCGGGCCCTCCGGCCGCTGCCCTGCCGCGGGGGACCCGAGGGAGGGCGGGCAGTGCCCCGGC